ATCGAGATGACCTGCCTGGGATTCCAGGATAAAGAGAGCTTTTGCTCTTCAGGGCCAGGTGGAATGAAAGTGTGAAATTTGGAGCTGGTACAGTCATCTTGAGGCCAGGAGGAAAGCCTAGGAGTAAGGTAATATACCCAGGAAGACAGAGGGAAGATGAAGTGAAAATTAGCTTGTTAGATACTGTTAGAACTCCTGGGTGGACCCACATGCGATTTTTAGTTCTGAGAACTAACAATGTTCCTTTTGTCTAATGAAGCCCAGATCAGATGGAACTTCCTCAACTTGGAATCAGATTACACTGAGATTTCTGGTGTGTTCTCAAAAGCAGTAGATGCTGTTCCCATCTGCCTGGGTCACAAGAGTGGCAAACAAGAGAAATATGATTTTGTCCAGTGAGCCCTTGGCTTTTCCCTGTCTACACAACTGTCCAGGAAACCTCTCCTGCCCTCAGGGTCTCCATTTCTAGTTGCCCAACAACAAGCAGGCTGGATCACACCACTGCATAGGGACTGCTTTCCCTGTGGTCACACCTCTCCCTGATGGTTGTTACTGGGGTTTGGGAGACCTCGAAAGGAAGACCACTTGGGATTCTCCATATATCCCAGGCTAGCCTCAGTCTATATGTATCCCAGGCTGTTCAGACTTTCTACAGAGCTCAGTCTTGTCTTGAACTTATGAGAGTTCTGCTTCCACCTCCAGAGTACAAGGGTTACAGTGATTGCCACCACACCTGACTCCTACCTATCTTCCGACTTAAGTCTTTCAGATGGCTTGGGATGGCTTGGGAAGGGTAGCCTGCTTCCTACCCTTCTCCTCTCAGAGAAACTTTCCATGACCCTAAGAATGATCCTCAGTGACTAAGCTGGTGCTTATATACCACAGACATCACATTAATGTCATTTAATGTTTAATTCGGAAATGTGTAGGGTCCCAAAAGCTACCTGGAAAGTGCAGGTGGCAGGCACCTCAGACCTTACAGGGTCTGCATCAGGCAGGTTACTGCAAATACAATGGAGGCTATTTTTAGTTCAGGGCTCACACTGTCCCAAGTTGTGTCACATGGTGCCTGTGCCCCCTTGGCTGAGTCCTCCTCACAGCAAGTCCCAAAGTGGTGGCTCTGAATTCCCTCTATGTCCTCAGAAGTAGGCTGCTGCAGGGCAGGGCTGGTGCCTTTTGTTTTATTTTTAACTGACATTGTATTCCGGGAGGCACCCCCTGGCTAGATGTCAAAGCTTCATAAAGACAGGCCACCCAGGGCTGGAAACTCTAGACCTGGGAGTCCAGAGCCTGTGCTGAGCCTGGCTGTGCCAGCCCTGGTGGTTCACCTCCTAAGTCACATTCCCTCCTTGGTCTTTCCTGTCCACACTTGGAAAGGCAAAGGTGAGACCCTGAGACTATTAAGGTCATAGTTTACAATCTGTGAAGCTGCCCAGGGTTGGGGATGCTGCATCTTGAGTACTCCTTTACCTGCAAGAAGGATATATTCTCCTTACAGAGGTCCTTCAATGTTCTAGCTAAGCTAGAACATTTCTACCTGGCCTGGCCAGGCAGGCAGTAGGCAGGCCTAATGTTACTATTTTATTTCAATCTTTGGGCCAGGCCTGCTCTCCCTGGCCCCCTCCCCTCTTTCCCAGTCTCTATATTGTGTCCTGGGATCACCTCTCAAAGAAAGGACTGTCCCTCATTGATAGTAACTCCCCTTCTTCTTTCTCCTTGGTGGAGCGATTTGTTGGGACTTGTGGCATCTGACATGGTCTCCTCACAAAACCATTATAAACCCACAGACTGAGTGCCAGTGACCACCCAGAAAGTATCCACTGTTATGTATGACCTCCTGGAAAATGTTCACTGTCACATGTGACCATCCAGAAAATGATCACTGCCACATGTCTCCATGAGGAGTGGTAGATATGGAGTGTCCACAGTAGGGCATGCAGTGTATCCTGGGAAGGGTGTGGTATGGTACCGGAGTGATGGAAAGCTGGTGGCAGGAAAAGATCCCTGTGGGCAGGTTTGGTAGATGGTGGAAGGTCTACAGACTGAGTGCTGTGTCCCTGTCTATGCGGCCTTCCCAGTTCACCTCCAGGTTAGAAGCTGTTTCATTGAGTTCCCAGAAGCCCAGATGCCCATACTGGGAGGGACTGTGGTGGCCTCCTTCAGAATCTCCATGGGATATGTGAGGAAGAGCAGGTCCAGTGAGTCCATCCCTCGACTCAGGACAGTGTAGCAAACTGCTGCTTTCTTGTCCTCTTCAAGCATATTCTCTGAGGGCAGGCCTTGCTTCCCATGAGCCCAGGGTGGTGGCAGAATGTACTAGAAAGGACTGTTCTAGAAGTCAAGGTACTTGAGTAGAACGCGATGAACCAGATGTGTGAGCTTAGGCAGGTGGCAGGTGGTTTTCCCTCTCTGAACCTTGGTCTCCCCATCTTCCAAGAGGGAGTTGATTGACATTGGAGCTCCTTACTCTGTTTTGAGAGTCTTCCTTTGAAAAACAAATGAAACCAATGGACACTCTACGCTCTAAAGTGCATTTGCATCCAGAGACACATTTAGCCTTTTGGACACACACTGGTCATCTTTTGATGGGGCTGCTGGTGGCCATGGAAGTAGTCTGTGTTCTTGGCACAGTCGCAAGTCAGGACCTGTTTTTGAGTTCCTTTCATTGCATTGAAGAACTAACTCATCTTCCTACTGATGGCCGCAACTCTGCATGGCTAGAAAGACCTTCAATCAATACTGTTTCTTCCCCTGGGAGCCACATCTTTGACAGCCTGAAGGTGGCTCAAAGTCAAGGGTCCCCTTTGGCTATGGCCACAGCAGCTGGGGATCACTGGGCTCCTGTCAACCAATGGGGAAGAAAATACTACCTACCAACATGCTTGTTACTCCACTCCATCCAGTCACATCAAAAGGGATGCAAAGCCAAACTTGGACAACTTAGACCCATCTTCCAGGATGTTACACAGGAGAAAAAAACAATGAGTGTTAAATTAAGCCCCAGATCAAGCCATCCCTTCCAATTTTCCAAATCTTACTTAGTGAGAGTTTTAACTAGGTATGTGTGTGCAGATGATAGAGATAGTGTTTTTGATGGGTTCAGCCAATGCTCACTTTTGACTTTTCTTTTTGTCCTAGTGTGTTTTGGTGGCACAGAGAACTGTGGGGATGCCTGGTGAGAGCTAGGCACACTGCTGGGAAACATCACACCAAGCATGTGATGCAGATAAGGTCTTCACTCAGAAGAGAGGGATAGATGCAGAGCTGACAAGGGGCCAGGTCCCCAGTGCCTTCTTCTCTAGTTCCAGGGTGAGCTCAACACCTCAGATCTGTGATCTGTGGATAGCCCTGTCTTAGAGGAAAGGAGCTGCTAGACATTTCTGTATTCTTTTAGATGTTGTGTGTGATCATCATTGGCCAATGGGCCCTCTGCCCATTTGGCTGCTCTTCCCTCAACAACAGCTCCCAAGAGTGTTTTGTGGAACTTCAGCTAGGGATCCACAGATCTGACCTAATCCTATGGTTTATAGGGAGGCACAGGGGCCTACCCATAGTCATAGACAGAGTGAAACCCCAGGCCTCAGATGGTACCCATGTTGTCTGTTCTTAAGAGCATAAAAGAAAAATTGTTTAGTGTTTTGCCTAATAACAGCTATTAAAATGTTAGCTTGGGAGACAGGAAGCTGAACCAGGATGATTTTATGTTCAAAGATAGCCTGGACTGCACTGTGAGACCCTGTCTCCAAACAAACACTAGCCTGATGGAAAAGATTAATGTAGCTATTTTTTATATGCTCCCAGAATAATTCAGATACCCCAGGACTCAGCTATCTGATTCCTGGAACAGAGCAGCATGCCTCTTCAAGGCATCAGCTTTCCTAGTGTAATATAAAGGGCTTGCTTGAGACATGTGAGCTTGGTAAGAACTAAGGATGCTCTCTGGACCTTGAGGTCTAGAGAGATGGAGACGTGTGTGCATCTGTTGGGGGAGTCAGAGGATGTGAGAGTCCTCACAGGGGCAAGATGCACTTCAGGTTAGATGTTGGGACTTCTCTGGGAAATCACTGGCTATGTGCTTTAGTCAGGGGAAGTGTGAGCCTGGCACAAAGCAGGGCTTGGCTCAGTCCTGGCAGAAGAACACAGCCAAGCACATGTTAGCAAGGTTGCAGTATTGCCTGTACCCACCCGAACCATGCCAGACTCACAAGATCCATCCTTCTTACTGTCACTTATTTGTGTTCCTTGTACTTTCTCCAGTGGCTTTACAGCCAATACTGAATGACAGTGAAGCTGTGTCACTCCTGAGAAGTGTCACAGAGATGTCTCCCAGATGTACTGTGCCAGATTGGTAGTGACGTCATTCCTGGATGGATGTCACTCCCACTTCAGTTTGGGCTGTCATCCTCATCCTCACCCCAGTACAGCCACAGGCTGTCTTCTGTAAGGCTCTGAGGTCCATCACCTCCTTACAGCTCTGGTCCCACAAGTGCCCCTCAACACTAGACCCCATACCTTGGGAAGCTTTGGGGCACTGGCTGCTCAGAAGTCTCTGTTTCTTTCTTGTTGGTCTCTGGATGTCTTGTTCACAGCTTGCTGCCTCCTCTGTGGATCCAAGAGCTGAGTCTGCTGATAGATGAGCATGTGGATACATGGACACACAGACACCAGGAATTCTCAGCCTCCATCAGTGGGGGTCAGATGTGGGGAGCTAGAACCAGGCAGGCCTAAGACTGCCCTGCTGAGTTATGTCAGTAATGTTTAGTTGAGCACAGAAAGCTGTGGTTTCTCCTGGTACTATTGTTCTCTGAAAGGATGTTGTACAGTTCTCAGAGTCTCCCTGTTAAGGCTAAGAGCTGCATAACTAAAGAGTCCACCAAGAGTCCAGCTGGCCAACTGGGCACTTGCAGGTGGCTCCACAGCCCAAGTCTCCAGGTGTATCATAGGCGACAGCAGGCTTGCTGCCATGAGACTCTGACAGGATTTGCTATAGTGGCCAGCTCAGAGCTGCTAGAGCAGTGGGTGCTTCTGCTGCATCTGGAAGTTCAGTTGGCAGCAGCAGAAACTAAGACAGCACACAATCCTCCTGGAAGCCTTGCAGGATGCATGGAGCTTTGAGCAGGTCTCAGTGCTAGAGCTCTCTGATTCCCAGGGGTGGCATGGACCAGGACAAGGAGTCTGGGGGGAGAAGATGGAAATCTGCAGACTCTGTATTTGGCTATTAGTGGTGGTCAGTTCAAAGAGCATCCAGAAACCAGGGTGGAATAACACAGTCTGCAAGAAAGGGAAAAGAATACAGGGACACTGACCCAGCCTGCCAAGATGGGCTGTGCCCAGTATCTGGCAAGGAGCCAGGGAAAGGACAAGGGATGTGCCCAGGATCACACCCATGGCCGTATGGCCTGGCACCTTTCCTGCTTTGGAAGTCAGTCAGTATTCTGGGGACACTCTCACAGATGGTCCACCAGAGAGGAGAGGTTCAGGAGCTTGTCTCAGTCATGGGATGGGTTGAACTTATTGCGCATTCCTAAGGTTGTAGGAGTTACACATAGCGGATGGGGGAGGCGCCCTCAGGGACCAGATCATCCACATCGCTCAGGAGCTCCCTTTCGCTGGCTGAGTTTGTGTTCTGAAGACGCCGGAGTCGGGCCTGGATCTGCTCCTGCTCTCGCTTCAGCTCCAGGTAGGAGTGGGAGAAGGTGTGAAAGATGGATGTAGCTGGGAAGGCCATAATGAGGATACCACTAAGAATGCTGCTCAGGGCCACCATCTGGCCCGGAACACTGCGAGGGACCATGTCCCCATAGCCCACTGTGGTCATGGAGATGATGGCCCACCAGTAGGACGCAGGGATGCTGGTAAACTCTAGGACCCTTCCGGACTCATTCTCAGCCACGTAGACTAAAGGGGAAAAGAGGGTGACCGCCACACCCAGGAAGAGCAGCAGAAGGCCAAACTCCCTGGCACAGCGGCGCACGGTGAGGCCCAGTGTCTGCAGCCCCAGAGAGTGGCGGGCAAGGCGCATCACATAAAGAATACGTAGTGCCCGCAAAACACGCAGCACCAACCCCACTTTCTCCAGGTAAGAGCTGCCACTCAGCCTCTCTCCTGCCTCCGGAGATTCCTCAGACACCACGAGCGACACATAGTATGGAGAGATGGCTAGAATGTCAATGACGTTCAGGGGCCCACGGAAGAACTGACATTTGTTCCGGGCTTGGGCAAAACGCAGACAGAACTCCAGTGAGAACCAGGCCACACATATGGTCTCCACCACGAAGATGTAGTAGCACTTTCTCGTGCATTCTCCCTGGGGTGAGAGAGCCATAGAAGCAACAGGTTAGTCAGCTTTCCTCAAACCCTGGCACAACAGCCCAATGGCTCAAAGGAGGAAGAATTTATCTGGGCTCATGGTTTCAGAGGGATAGCCAGCCATGGTGGAGTAGACATGGAGAAGTAGTTCCATGGTGGCTCTCTGGGATGTGAAGAAATGGCTTCCCTCTGAACAGTCTTCCTAGGTGTACTCTCTCTCTCTCTCTCTCTCTCTCTCTCTCTCTCTCTCTGTGTGTGTGTGTGTGTGTGTGTGTGTGTGTGTTGGTCAGAAAACAAGTGGGGCTATTATTCTTCAGATTCTGTCCACCTTGTTTTATGGGATTTTTGTTTTTTCTTTTGAGACAAGGTCTCTTACTGGCCTGGGCCTTGCCAAGTGTGCTAGGCTGGCTGGCCAGCGAGCCCCAGAGATCTGCCTCTGTCTACTTCCCCAGTGCTGGGATTACAGGTGCATGCCATGACACCCAGCTTTTTAATGTGATTCCAATACTTTGACTCAGGTCCTTGTGCTTGCAAATCAAATATTAACCAACAAAGCCATCTTCCCAGGTCCTAGAGCAGTGGTTCTGAACCTTCCTAAAGCTGTTCCCTTTAATACACTTCCTCATGTTGTGCTGACCCCCAAATAAAGTTATTTTTGTTGGTGCTTCACAACTATAATTTTGCTACTGCCCATTTGGCTGCTATCTGATGTGCAGGATATCTCATATGCGACCCCCCAAAGGGGTTGTGACCCACAGATTGAGAACCACTGCCATGGAAGCACAGTTTGATTTTTCTGTGCCCTGTGGGCTGAGCTGTCCACTGTGTGGTTGTTAGGTTTTAGCTTCACACATGGCAGATCAACCTGGTGGAAACCAGGATTTCCTGCTTCCATTACAGCTAGATATGGCCAAATGCTTGCCACTTATGGAAGGTGCTTTGCTGGGACAAGGGCATCAGACAGAGCTGCAAGCTCCTTACACTGACTCCTTTCCTGGTACCAGAACATTAAAGGGGCCTGCAACAGAGAACCAAAGAATGAAATGGTAAGTAGACTAGAAGCTGCCAGCTCATTTAACTCCCTCACTGATACAGAAGAGAAAAAGCAGCTTCCATTTTGTTTAAAGGTAGCACATGCCTTTAATTCTAGCACTCAGGAGGCAGAGGCAGGTGGATCTCTGTCAGTTGGAGACCAGCCTGGTCTACAAGAGCTAGTTCCAGGATAGGCCCCAAAGCTACACAGAGAAACCCTGTCTTATAAATAAAGCTACCTGTCCTGGGCCTCCTGATTATAGCAGTCAACCTTCACTTTCACTGACATAAGCTTTGCTTAGGGATGCATGCAGCTCTGGTGCTGTCCTGTAAGCCACACAGACATGTTGTGCACAGAGGGTGTGGCCACATCTTACACTCCAGGAACTGGGTCACAGTCGTGTGTTCACTACCTATAGATGGTCCTGTCCTATCCCACTCTAGGTCTCTTAGTCACTATTGATTGCCTTGTCACGTCTTTATCCACAACTGCAATTCCTTCATTCTACAAAATGGACTAAGGCCCACTTGAGGTAGGCTCTGGACTGGACAAGCAGACATGGTTCTGGAGGCAGAAAGTCGCTAGACAGAGGGTCCTGAGGCTGCAGTCTAGCCTTTAAAAGTGGTGATCACAACCCTTTGTCCAGCTGCTCTCTCCTGGCCACAAGGATCAACAATGTGTTCCCCACTTCTGACTCCTGGCTCCTGATATATCTCAGTATCCCCTTGCTCCTTGGCATGGTCCTTAACCAAAACCCCACCCAACCTCCACCACTACCAGATGCATAATCTGCATTTAAGCAAGATTCTACTGGATATATATATCCCTCAGCCTTGACTGAATGTCAGACCACCTGGGTAGCTACAAAAGACCTCACCCTCAAGACTGCCCCTAGAGACTCTAATTTAGTTGACATAGGTTTTTAGCTTGAGTAGTAGAATTTATCAGAAGCACATGGATGAGCCTAATGTTGGGAACTTGGTTCAAATATTTTACATATATGTGTGTGCACGTGCACACATACACACACTCATAGATGCACAAACATGAATTCACACATGCACACACACACACACACACACACACACGCTCTCAAGCACACACATGCATGTAAACAGCCTGGAAAACAAGCAAATATATGACAGAGCCATGTGTCCATGGACAAAGCAAAATGTTGCCAACTGTGAGGTTTTAGATTTAAATGCTCTGAAGTGGAAAAAGAAATTGCTTCCAGTGTCCAAGCCCAGTGGATTCCTGAATTGAAATGTTTTTGTCTGTCCATCAGAAAAAAAGAAAATTAACAGACCACCCCAAGCTTTGTTGGCCTGCCCAGGACTAGGAAGATTTCTCCATGACTTCTGTCTGGTCCCTTTCAGGGCCAGAGCAAAAAGATGTCATTGAGATGAAGCCCTGAGTGTGCATGGCCCAATCAACACTCACTCACTCAGGAAGTTATTGGTCCTCCCTGGACGTACAGGGGTCATTGCCCTAAAGGACAGCTGTAAAGGATGGAATCATGTCTATCAGTAATGAGGATGCTGAACCCAGTAGATACACAAATGACACACTGTCACAGATACTACCCTACTTGGTTAGCAGGAAGCTAGCATTCTATAGGAAGTAGAAAAACATTTTCCAACTCACTAAGAGGGCTTCCTGAGATAAACATATGACACACTGTCACAGATGCTGCCCTACTTGGTTAGCAGAAAACTAACATTCTATAGGAAGTAGAAAAACATTTTCCAACTCACTAAGAGAGCTTCCTGAGAGGTTTGCATCAGCATCCTGGTCTGGATACTCCAGGTATTCTGCAAACCTGCTGTGCAGTCTGGAAGTGGTCCCTACCTGTCCCTGGCTTCCAGTTTTTGATGAAGAGGGTGAAACACAACCAGAATCCCCCAGAGTGCCAGCTACAAATAGATTCTTGGGTCTATCACAAACCCAAAGTCTTGAACCCAAGCTCAGGCATGGGATCTTGGGGGAAATCTCCCCTTTGCTTTGGAGCCCCCAGAGGACCTAGACTCTGAGTTGCCTTTCCTACAAAGTATGTTTCTTGCTGCTGTCTGGGAATTTTCCTTGGCTCTAAAGAGTCTTGAGCCCAGAGAACACCATCTCCAGATCAGTGACCAGCAACTGGGGAGGGTGACTCCGGAGGGCCCAGCAGGCCCCAGCAGGCTGAGCTTCTGCCTCTGGTGCTGGTGTTTGCCTATTCAAGCCATGTACACCCTGTCCTCCCTCCCTGGGTCTGGGCTGCCGGCCTCCCTGCACTGCAGCAGACTGGCTCTGCCTAGTCACTCCACCTGCATCCTGCTCTGCCCTGAATCCTAACCAGCCTGGAGCTGGCATCTCTGCAGCCATGCTGGGACACAGAGACAGATGTATGGGCTCCAGCTAAGGATGTGATTTACAATCCAGCCCTGCCAAAATTTGGAGGAAGGGGAGAAGAAGGAAAACACAAAACACTTTTCTCTCTCTGAGGAAGATTCTGGCTGATGGGGTACTTTGGTCCATATTGTTCTCATCTTTCTGGATTTGGGCACAGAAAAATCTGGTTTGGGGATGCCCCCTAATTCCAGGCAAAGAGGAGGAATTAGCCTCTGTGCCGTGTACCTTGTCCCTGGTGGTCGTGAGGGAAGCACTGCACATGACTGAAGTCAAGGGGAGCCAGGCTGAGGAGGAATGGAAGCACCACACAGGCATGTAGGGCCCAGCAAGCCAGAGGCAACATTGGGGACGAGGTGAGGCTCTCCTCCAGGCCTCCAACCACCAAATCAGCTGCTCAGGGGACCCTGGGTTGACTGGGAAGGGCCCAAGGGAACTTCTAGATTGACAAGGGTTGGGTTGTAGGGGTGGTTTTTTTTTTTTTTTTTTTTTTTTTTTTTTTTAGAAGTTTCAATGTGTGTAGCTGCAAACTGTGATTAAAAGAAAAAGGAGGGCTGGCAAAATGGCTTGACAACCTGCCTGGACCCACATGGTGGAAGGGGAAGAATTGCTCCAGAAAGTTGTCCTCTTTCTCTGTCTCTGTCTGTCTGTCTGTTTGTCTGTCTGTCTGTCTGTCTGTCTCTCTCTCTCTCACACACACACACACACACACAGAGACCTACCTGCTGGACTGGGTTGCAAAGAACCACCTGGCAGCTCCTCTAAGGGGCTAAACTCAATCTTAAGACTCAGCAAGTTCACACCTATGTTATTTACACACCCAAACGGAATGAAAATACACATACAGAAATGAACACACAATTCCACATTCTCTCTGTAGCCAAAGACCACCTTGAACTTCTGATCCTCCTGCCTCCACCTTCCTGGGGCTGGGATTAGAGGAGTGTGCTACCACACCATGTTTATGCACTTCTAAGATCAAAGCTTTGTGCAGGCTGGGCAAGCACTCTACCAACTGAGCTTCAGCCCCTGGCTGGAAAGTGGAAACACCACAAAGGTCATCAACCAATCTACCAATGAGCCAGCAAGCACAGCACAGCCAAATGGCAACTGTGATAAGGCAAAGGAATCTGGGTTTCCATAGGTCACATCTCCAGGGTCTGAGGTCCTCAAAGTGTCATTAATTCACCATGCCCTATGCCTCTCCTCAGAATAAGCTGGCCAGCCTTAACAGCTCGCTGGCTAAATAGAGCCGCTCTCTGCCTGCCTGCTGTTCCCTAAGGACAAATAAGAAATACAAAGCATGTACTAGAGAGAACACTGCTTTTTATGTAAATGTTGGAGACACTGTCTTGAAAGAACAAAGATCCTAAGATTGTCTGGCCTCAGCCTCCCTGGCTCTCTGAATTATAATCCCCAATATGAGCATAGACCCTCCAGAAGCCGTGCTCCTCGGGATGTGTTAGGGAAACCTGTACAAAGTGGCTCCACCAGAGTAAGTACTAGGACATTGTGGCTTCCCCTGGGCAAGAATCCCTCTTGTCCCATGGGTCACAGCTGCCAGTTTCTCAGGGACAGCTCTGGGATGCCCAGGACTTCAAACTGGTGACCTGCACCTAATTTGATTTCCACAGTGGCCCTGTTTGGGTCTGTACTCTGTAATTTTCAAAGCATTAGGCCCTGCAATGCCCCCACCCCTCTGCCCAGGGAAGCTCCTGGCTCCTCACACTGTCTTCTCACCAGAAGTGGGAGGACACATGTGTGAAGACCAAGTGTGATTCTTCAGCAGCTGCAACCTGGTGTCCTTGACCTGGGTAAGGACACTGTTTACTCTGCCCTAATCTTCAGGGGCAAAATCCACATTGTAGATATTCCCACAGGCAAGCAGGTGTTTCCACTTCTTGTTCTGTGCTAAAGACTGGTGGGGTCAGAGGGAGCTCCTGATTGCAACTGCAGGCAGGGGCCAGCTGTTCAAAAGAAGACTTGAGTGCTATATATCTTATTCTTTTGGAAAAAAACATTGGTCAGTCAGATGAAACACATATTTGGATTTGTGGAGAACTTATTATGTGTAAGGCATATGCTGGTTCTCTAACTGGAATGGTCCTACTGTATTGTGTGTGTGGGGGCAAATCTGTAAGGAAGCAACATGTTTGTGTGTGTGTGTGTGTGTGTGTGTGTGTGTGTATACATGTGTGTGCATGTGATGTGAGTGCAGAAGTGTGTGTGTTTTAAATCTGCCTCCTTTGTCTATTATAATCTTATATAGATGGAGAGTCAAATGATAACAGAGTTGTACTGTAAAATTGGAGAGAAGCAATGTTCTTCCTTAGGAAACTGTCTAGTTCTAGTTTCAAGCTCTTCAGCCACCTTCCTAACAAGTGCAGGCTCCTATTTCATTTTTGAGACTCTTCAACTGTCAACTTTACAAAGCCAAGAAACTCTAAGATTAAAGTCTCAATTGAGGAATTGCCTTGATCAGATTGGCCTCTTGGCAAGCTAATCTATGTAGGAGGGCCCAGTCTACTGTGAGTGGCACCATCTGTAGACAGGGTCCTGGACTGTGTAAGAAAGCTCATTGAGCAGTAGCTCTCCTCTGTGGTTTCTACTTCAGGTTCTTGCTCAGGTTTCTGCTCTGACTTCCCTTACTGATGACCTGAGATCTGGAAGGGGGCGCCAAACAAACCCTTTCCTCTCCAACTTGTGTTTGATCAGGATGTTTATCCCAGCAACAGAAAGCAAACTAGCACACAGACCATCTGGTTCCTGGGGTACTTGATGCTTCACAGCTCTATGCAAAGAGAAGGTAGGAGTGCACAGGGTTGTGAATATTAGTTTAAGATGTGTTACAATTTGTTCATGCTGTGGAACATTTGTTTAATGATGCAAATATGTGTTGCATTCTTTTATGTTGTATTTGTTTGACCCTGTAAAGCTGTGTTACTTTGCCTATCTAAAATACCTGATTGGTCTAGCAAAGAGCTGAATGGCCAATAGGTAGGTAGGAGAGGGATATGTGGGGCTGCGAGGCAGATGGAATAAATAGGAGAAAGAGAGGAAAGGGAGGAGAAAGAAAAGGAGGGGAGGAGGATGCTAGGAGCCTGCCGCCCAGCCACACTACCAACCATACTACCAGTCACAAAAGGAGAAAATAAAGGAATATAGAATAGAAAAAGGTAAAAACCCAGAGGCAAAAGATAGACAGGGTAATTTAAGAAAAGCTGACTAGCAATAAGCTAAGCTAAGTCCAGGCATTCATAGCAAGAATAAGTCCCCGAGTATTTATTTGGGAGCTGGGTGGTAGGCCCCACAAAGAGCAAAGAGTAAGAAACTACTCACAGGTAGAATGTTTCCTCTAGGACAAGGTCACTTTAGAGCTACCAGGGCCCAGGCTCTAACCCCCAACAAGCCCAGTAATACTAGGGGAAAAGGCTTAAGCCTGGTGTCAGCCCTAGGAGGAGCCTGTCTCCTGGGGAGAAATTCACATGCAGATCCCTCCAGCCTTCCACTTAACTCTCAGACCAGTGAGATGGCTCCTTGGGTAAAACCCATGGGTAAAAGTACTTGCTGCCAAGCCTGACAAGCTGACCCAGGCTTGATGACCCAGGACCCACAGGGTGGAAGGAGGGAACAGACTCTTGCAAGTTTTCCTCTGACCTCCACATGCATATCCTCTAGGCCACACGTATGCTGAGGCATGTGTGCCTGAACACACACACTTTAATATGACAGTAACAATGTAATTTAAATGCAAACATCAGAACCCGAAGATGGACTGGGGGACCACTGACCCCTCTATTTCTCTTCCCACAACGTGGCCACATTGATTACTCACCTCTCTGTTTTCACTCTAGTTTAATTAGTCTGTTGAACACAGGTGGCCACACCTAGCTTGTTGGAGCTACAGAACCCCGTCTTTGAGTTCTCTTCTGGTGGCACTAAGACTTTGGGGGAGGAGGCAACCAGAAAAAGAAGGACCAAGTGTTTCTGCTATAATCCATTCCTCAGTTTAGAGTCAGAGGAAATACATGTTGCACTGTTGAGTCTCCATCTGGAGCAGGGTTGGCTCATGTGCAGGGATGTGGATTCTGGGCCAATAATTAGCATGAAGTAGTTGCTCGATAAACATTAATTCAATAAACAGGTACGCTTTCAGAGAAATGTCTCCCATTTTACTGAGGAGGTAACTGAGAAGCAGTGGGGACCAGTACTCCACCCCACCACCGGAAATGGAAAGTGGATGATGGGTCATCCCACCATCCCAAATCAGACATGACTTTGTCAATATCCAGGGTTTCCTACCGGAGTCAGGAACACGTAATGATTTTAAGGGCTCCCATCCCTGCAATAAAGATGAAACTGTTATAGTCCAGGGTGAGGTGTCTAAAAATGAATATAGTCCATACAGGATAGTATTCATATTCCCCTACTTATTTAAATGAGGGTCTGTAACTGGGTGTGGGGACACATGTTTGTCACCCCAGCCATCAGGAGATGGCTACAGGAGGATCAGGAATTTGAGGCTAGCCTTGTCCTGATACAGAGCTCTAGGCCAACCTGGGCTGCATGAGGCCCAATCTTAAAACAACAACAACAAAAAAAAAGGGCTGCTGCTATAGCTCAGTGTTTAGAAAACATGCCTAGCAATCAGGAAGCCCCGGGGTTCAATTCCCAGGACTACATAAAACAGGGTTTGGTGGTACACACCTGTAATCCCAGCATTCATACAGTGGAGGCTGGAAGACGAGAGGGTTAAGGCCTCCTTGAGCAAGTTGAAGTCAGCCTGGGCTACATGAGACCCTGTCTCAGGAAGAAAAAAGAAAGAGAGAGAGAGAGAGAGAGAGAGAGAGAGAGAGAGAGAGAGAGAAGAAAGAAGGGAGGGAGAGAAAGAGGGAAGGAGAAAGAAGGACAGAAGGAAGGAAGGAAGATAGAAAGGTAGAAAGAAAACTATTTTCATGGTGTCCTAAGTGTCCCTTGGCTGCCCCATGGTCCCTGATGGGCAACCACTCACCTTGTCTTCCTCAGCCCTGAAGTCGGGCATGGTGCTCACACACAGACTGACAGCTGTGGTGGCCACGAAGAGAATGGAGAGGCAGGCAAAGACTTTCCCGGGCAGCCCTGACTGTGGGTCCTCCACCATCTCACGCAGCTGGTTCATGCTGCGGGCCCATCGCGAAGTGTGCACTTCGGAGTGGCAGGCCTGGCGCTGCTGCTGGCGCTGCACAGCCTCCTCCCGGCGCAGCTCAGCCACCTCCTCCAGCTTCTTCATGAGCTTGCGCAGGCAGCAGCGTTCCAGGTTGGCTTCCTCGATGCCCCAGTAGCTCAGCTCCTCACGGAAGGACAGTGCGCACATCTCCCGCAGAAGCACCAGCTTTCCCGCAGCCAGGAAGCTCACAATCACCCCGAAGGCGCTGGGGCTTCTGTCAAAGAAGAACTCCTGGCTGTTCTCATCATAGTCATCACAGAGTTGTATGATCTCCTCATAGCTGCGACACAGCCGAAGCCTGCTCAGGCGGCTCAGCGGGAAAGCATCCAGGGTGCTCCAGGGCAGTAGGTATCGCCGGCCACCCACATTCACCAGGATCTCCTTCTTCAGGTCGGCCTCTGGAGAGGCATCCAGGGTGCCCACCTTCCGGGCCCTGCTGTAGTAAAGGCCCTTGACTGATGGAGGCTCTGGACCAGGCCAGAGCTGGCTCAAGGGGCTGAAGGAGCCAAAGTGATGGTGTCCAGGACGCAGGTCTCTGGAAGACATGGGCATTTCCACAGACTGTGGGGCCTGGAGCAATGGGCTCACCTGTCTGCCTTCAGGGGAAGAACAAGAGAAGGAAGGGAAGATGAGCTTAGCAGTACAAACATTGTTACATTTGTGTACTGCAGCTGCAGCTGCTTCAGCCATCTCCAAATCTTCTATTTACTTCTTGTTTATCCAGCAGCTTGGACTATGCCATTCATTGGATACATCCCTACTCCTGTCAGGGAGATTCAGCCACCAAATGCTGGGGACCACAACAGCTTTGCAACTGACTCTCAGGAACTCCCCACGAAAGTTTCACTCCTTGGTTTTCTCTCATTCAGAGGACCCTGCTGGGAGGATGGAAGACACCTCCCACTTTGGACAACTCTTTCTTACTCAGTCAACCTTGCTGTGTGACCTTGAAGTGGTTACTCCCCTCACTGGGCTATAGTTTTTTTGTTTTTGTTTTTGTTTTTGTTTTTTGTTTTTTTTTTATCTGCAGAGCAAAGAGCCTTCTAATGCTCTCTACATGGCAGACCTATTTAGGGGCTTCACTTAAGACAAGCATTTTGATTTTAGCTCGCTCACGTATTTTTTTAAAATTCTGTAATATGTCTCACCCTCCCTATTATGTGATCATTTCTTTTGCTATTCATTCCAGCCAGAGCTGTCTCCAGGCACCTATAACCTTACATTGAGAGAGGCACTCCAATCAGGAGCTAGTGGAAATAAAAGTGTCTTTCGATTCCAGAGCTTGCTGGATGCTGGCGGACAGTGAGGAGCAGTTGGGCCTGTGTTTCACACTTGCACCGCAGTGCACTCTTATTTTGCATGCATTACTTGGTTCATAGCACACAGCCAGTGGGAGGGGTGCACAGCCTGCAAAACAGAGGAGTGTGTTGAGATCCAGGGAGTTCTTTCCAAGCTTTCTCAATTTCCAGAGCAAAAGCTAAGACCTAGAGTGCTGAAGGGACTCATCCAAGGTCACACAGCAAATCTGAATCCAACCCAAGACTCAGCTTCCCAGCCTGGGGTTCTGCCCAGACCCGGGATCTTGCCCCATCTCCTTCCACTGAGCAGATCTGATTTTGCAGTCTTTGCTCTCCCTAACAATTGGCCAGCAAAACTCCTCCAGAACCTGGGGAAAATAATTCACTCCAAACATCCCTTCTGCCAAATGGTTTAGCCCAGTCACTGCTCTAGAACATCCCACCCCAGAACAAGCAAGTTCCTCCAAAGTTCAACTCACCGCTTGTTTTAAGAAGTATGTTCCCAGCCAGTTCTCTGCCGGGCATGGGGAGCCCATGTCTCAGTGTCCAGGAAAGAGACAGTTTGTGTCAGATAGTTGGGAGGTAAAAAAAACCCACAAACCAAAACCAACTCCCAACATAGCATCCCTGGCAGTCAGTGTCCAGTCCTTCTCTGGCCTCCTCTAAAGAGCAGAAGTTTATTCATTCTGGATCTGTAGAAGAGCAGGGATGCAAAGTGCCTTTCTAGAAGGACCCTGAAGTCCTTCCTCCTGAGCTGAAAGTCTGGATGCTGCAGGGAGCTGGGCCAGTTGTCCTGTCTCAGCTGCGGACTTGGTGCTCCAAGTCCCATGGGGACAGCCAGCACAGTCCATGCGGGGGGGGGGGGGGGGAGGTGCTGACGGGAAGGGTTTAGGATTAATCTCTCCATCAGCCAGGCAGCAGGCAGGAGCAGCGGCTGCTCTGCCAACGATGGGGGAGGCAAGGAGAGTGTCTGTCCTTTCTCCTGGGTGAGGAGGAGCTGAGCTCTGGAGGAGCTGGGGACCAGGGGACCAGGCTTTTGCAACCTTATGGTACACTAAGGTGAGGAGAGAAGTTGGCAGATTGGGACAGACCAACTCAGAACCTAGGGTGGATATTGGGGAGATGGCATAATAGGTTAGGAACAGAGAGGCTTGCAGTCAAATTCCTGCCTCCAATATGATTGCCCTTAGGCAGGTGGGTTAATGCCTTCATACTTAAGTTTCCTTATTTGTAAAAGGTATATGAGTGGCAGGGGGAGGGCAAAGAGGGGAGGGCTTCCAGGATATAAAATCCACAAGTTTTTTTCTGTAAGCTCAGTCCTGGTGGAGAGACGCCACAAGCGAGTTTCTTGCTGTGTGTCCTTGGTGAGTCACTTCACCTCTCTGGGCCTCAGTTTCCTCCCCTGTCAAATGAGGACAGTGGGAGTGCAAATGCTGAAATTGCAAGAGCACATTAATGTAGGGCTTGCTGTCCCTGGGTCCTTCCTTTTCTTAGAAGGTTTTGCAGCCAAGTGGCCTTCATGACTCCATTCTGTCTCTGAGGGCCCCAGAGGCTTGTTCAAGGTCATTATGCTAATTAGCAGCTGTATGCGGTTAGGACCATCACTGAATTCAGACAGGATCTGATGTGGGGGTTCAGGAGCAAGGGGGATCAGAGCCTGGCAGTCTTCAGTTCTCTGGAAGGAGCAACTGAAGTTACCTGTGGCCTGGCACAGGAATGGAGGGATAAGAGCAGGAGACAGAAGCTGGCAGGGAATGGGCTCTGCAGATATGGAGAGGGACCTGGCCGGTGGCAGGGCAAGGACTGGAGACTCAACCTGTTTTCTCTGCCTTCCCACTGCCCCTCCCTGCTGCCTGCATCAGGGTCACTGCTGGGGCCCAAGGCAGAGACCTAGTGCCTTCTCTGACTCTTCAGGTCTCTAGCTCCTCTAAGCCAGGCTCCAGAAGTCTCTCTCCCTGGAGTGGGCTTTCTGTTCTCCATCTGATTTAGACCTGTCTAAGTTAGGGTTACTACTGCTGTGATGAATCATCATGGGCAAAGCAACTTGGGAAGGAAAAGGTTTATTTGACTTACATATTTCCAGTAACAGTGCACTGAAGGAAGCCAAGGCAGGAACTCAAACAGGGCAGGAACCTGGAGACAGGAGCTGATGAGAGGCCCTGGAGATCCACTTTTTTGTTCTTGTTGTTTGTTTTTTGAGAAATGGTTTCTCTGTATAGTCCTGCTTGTCCTGGAACTCACTCTGTAGACCAGGCTGGCCTTGAACTCACAGAGATCCAACTGCCTCTGCCTCCCAAGTGCTGGGATTAAAGGCATATTCCACCACCGGCCACCCCAGAGGCTGTAGAGGATCACTGTTTATTGGCTTCGTCATGACTGCTTCCTTATAAAAGCCAGGACCACCAGGTCCAGGTAGGGGATATCCCCACCCACAATGGGCTGCCCCCCCCCAGCAATCACTAGTTAAGAAAACGTCCAACAGGCTTGCCTATAGCCCAGCCTTACAGAGGTATTTTCTCAGCGGCTCCTTCCTCTTAGGTGACTCTAGCATGTGTCAAGTTGACATAAAACCAGCCAGCACAAATCCATTAGGTTAACCACCATCCCCAGAGACCATCATCTTTCTCTCTTAGTTCTCTCTGAGCAGACGAGGTACAGATGCAAATCTAGAATCCCAATTCAAGGCTCTGTCAGTAAAGGGCTTGCTGCACAAGCTTGCAGACCTGCCTGAACTTGATCCCTTAAAAACCATATGGTAATAAATACATGCCCGTTATCCCTGTGCTGGGGAAGCAGAGACAGCTGGGTCCCTGGGTCTTGCTGGCCAGCCAGTCTGGCTTACTTGGGGGCTTCCAGGCTAGTGAGAAGACTTGGTGGGGGTGGCCCATGGTGTTCCCCCCTCAGGATTAAGATTATGTTCTGCCCTGACTGTCCAGAAAGGCTTGCTATGCAACCGCTATATGACCCCAAGGCAGGTTTCCTTTCTTCTCTGTGTATCAGGGCAGCTAGGTGACTTGATTTTTGAGGTCTGTGGTCTTTGTGAGTAGTGCGTGAAATATTTGTCACAGTACAGGACACAGTCCCTGGCATACCACCATACAGATGCAGTTTTGGCCTGTTTTCTCTCTTAGCATTATCCCCATATCTTCCTACAGTGTTGCAAGCATCACTAACAGACAATGAGCGTGTGCAGGCTGAGGCTGCTGTTGATCCGTGGTATGTGACAATGGCTGGCTTTGTAGGGAGAAGACTTCCTCAAATATGGTGCTTGCCAGTTACTATAGTGTAAAAGCTCTGGCCAGTATCAAGTGAATAGCATTGTTCTGTGGAGGGCTAGGGAGGCAGGTGAAGGACAAACTCTTGAACCCCTGTGCTAATAGGTTCTGTGGCATCACTGAACTTGTAGCTTTCCAGCATCGACAAGAAAAGGCTCCCCAAGGCAGGATTCTTGGTTAAATCATGACTGTGTACTCCTATCATGGGCAGTGCCCTGCACCCTGGCATTCTTTTGGGTGGCTGGGGTGATGGTATAGTCCAGAAAAGGCAAACACTGAGAACAGTACTCAGAAAGGAATGGCTTAGCCACATCTAAGAGTGCTAGGCAGGTTCCCTCTCAACACCTCCCCTTCTCCCTGGGACACATTGACCCTCTCATGGCTGTCCTCAGTGGTTATAGGCCTGATAGCATACCACTGCCAGAGGGTATCTATGCAGAGCCTGCTCTGCCTGGATTGGGGTAAGCACAGCCAGGCAGGCTCCCTTCCTGGAATGGCTGTCCCCTCCAGCAGCTGATACACAAAGTGCTTCTCCCAGGCCGCAGTGGGCAGGTACACTGTGGTCTCTTGAGCAGTCCAGCTGGGTTCTGTATCGGGCACTATCACGTTGGTGGCTCTGTGGAATATGGACTGCCAGGCATTACCTGCCTCACCAGGGGATAAACTAGAGTTTCAGGGGTGCCCTTAACATGATGGCAGGAAATTCTGGGTCAGTGTCAGTCTCCAGGAGAGGAGTTGGCTCAGGGTAGGAGGTGATGATGGTGATAGTGTGGAGGTGGGTGTGTGCCAGATGGCAGGGGTGAGAACTGTCACATCAGGAGGCCAGTGTTGTGGGTAGCAAGGCACCTTCCAGTGTGCACACACAGCAACAAGAGACTGGGACACCTATGGGGTTTGAGTTTGGGCATTTCTCATACCCCATTCGGCTTGCTACAACCCACAACAGCATGTCAAGAAGTATTTTGCTTTGTAAAGCTGT